AAAGAACTTCGAAGTTACATTTATGTCAAAAGCAATGGCCAACGGCTTGGTATTTGCTGTCCTACTTTTGAAGGTAATCTGATTATGTTTTTTTATGTATAAAGTTTTATGAAAACTCGGTTTCTCTACAATGTTTCAACGAGCGCATTCGTTCTCAACATTACCCAATAAATCATGTGCTGCTCTGTATCACTGTATGGTGGTGGTACGGCGTGTCGAACGTTAAGGCTTCGCTAAGTGCTGTTAGACTGTTATTTTCATTGATAAAATGCCTAAAAAAAAATCTGAACTATATAAAGTTTTGTTTTTTGAGTTTAATTCTGTTTTTTTTTTCTTTTTTTTAGGTTATCTTTCTTAAATCCAGCGCAACCGCTGAAGGTAAGTTATTAGTCAGGCTTATAATGATCAACAAAAGTTGAAATTAAAAGGATACAATTCCGCCTGTTGTGAGAATTCTAACTTATGAATTTGAAATGAAAAAGAAACTTTTCTTGTTGTAAAACTAGAAGGCCTTTTCTTTGCGTTTTCAACTTGGAGTTAGAAAGMCTGATTGTAGATCATTAATTATGAAGGATATCGAGACATTTTCATTCGTCAACGACGGAATACTTGTTTAATGATGAATAATAGTACAGCAAAAATTCAACTAATATTCAACTACTTAAAACGTCTGCGAAACTGACAACGCTTATAAAAACTCTTAGGGATTTTTGTGCAAAAACAGTTTAACAACAGCACGACAAAAATAAATAGCGACGACAATAATCCTTTTTACATAATTGGGATGTAAAGAGATTACTAGATAAGTTGTTTTTCTTTTCATAATCGAAGYAACACAATAACGGATAGATTGGTAAATCTCTTGTTGGTGCTATACTAGTTCAAAAGTACAAATATATTGTTTGAAACATTCCCAGACAGGACAATTCACTTCTCTACTAGGAGATACTRAAGTTGTCAATGATATTTTGTTCAACAAAATAAATAAGTTATTGATCGCAAAAATTAACAAATTACGCTTTGGAACGCTTTGTTTTGAGTTTTTGTCCTCTCTTTTCTATTGATGTTAGATTTTTCATTGCGACACTTGGGCTGCTTTAAAGAAACACGAAATAAGACAGCAATACCAAACCTTTTAGCCACTCTTCCTAAAGACAATGACCCCGTTCAAAATTGCGCTAATTTAACCAGTAAGACGGGTTACCGAGTCTTTGGTTTAAGACCATTTAATGGTACTATTGGATGCTTCTCAAGCAAAGAGGCGTATACAAATTATAGAGGAGATGGTCCATACAACGGCTGCCTGGACGGAACTGGTCAATCAGGAGCGAATGATGTCTACTTYATAACGGGTGAATATTGATCAAAACTATGTCTTGACCTATTTCAGTTATTAAATGATTGCTAATTTAGACACCARTGCCAATGTTGAACCCAGTATAAATTCTGTCAACCATTTTGTGAGAATTGCCTTACATTGAATGTATATCTTTGCTTTCATTTTCAGTGTTCAATCTCTATCTTACAATAGTGGATAATAACTTTGACATAAATCTACTACAACCTTCACATGCAATGTTTTTGGAGAGAGVCAACGAAACGAGTGAAAAGGTAGGGGACTATACACTTTTAGTATAAACATACTAATGGTCTATCACTCATACTGCTCTGTGATTGGCTACTCTRCTAATGGTCTAATTTGTGATAGACCACTCGCGGGAAAATCAAAATAAATAAATTATAAATTATTTTAAGGATATTTCAATTTTTTTCATTATTTGACACCGATTAGTATGTTTATACTAAAACAATTAGACCTCTCGGCCTCATAGACTACGAGCTAATAGCCCATTCGGCCTCGCGGACTCGGCCTCATGGGCTATTAGCTCGTAGTCCACTCGACCTCGARGTCTAATTGTTAAGTAGGCGTGCTGATTTAAGCCAGAATATCGACCTTAGAKTAGGGATGCTTTTGAAACAACGCAACCATCATATATCATTAAATTTCAGGTTCAAAATATTACCAARACTTTAGATGGCTCGTGGAAAATTACGAAGATTGATTTCAGGTTTGTTATAATATATTTCATAACCACTAAGACTTCGTGAGTGTACATTTAAAATTTTGTATTTCATTTTTATACACTTTACTTTCCTCAGGCCTGTTAAGAACGGCTTGGCTATCTACACAAGTACCTGCGTACTTATGGTAAATTACAATGGAACAAATGACTTGGAAAATATAACCCTTACTTTCCAGAAAAGTTTTGCCGAAGCTTACAAGGTGGAAGTAACAGGTAAGTGAGTTGTGAAGTGCGATTTATAAAGCAAAATCTGACAATTGTAAGTAAGAATTTAAGTAAGACTGACGGAAATCGTTGATAAAAATGGTCAAAGCGCCGTTAGATGTTTTCATGAAATAGGAGCAGGCGACGGGTTCCTGGAAGAATTATATCTGTTCTTATGTCTCAGCCAGCTGTAAGCCATCACAACTGGTTGCCAGCGAGAAATTAGGTAAAAAACTCTCGGACAGCAATGAACACTTTCTAAGAATTTTTGCCAGGAAAATAAAAATTTCCTAACTAAAAAAATATACCGTTTTTGACCATCAAAACGTTATGTAAGCATTTTTTGACCTTTTAAAAAAGCATTTGCCAAGAACATAATTGTATTAAAGAAGGAAGGGTGTCACATTTGCTTGTGAGATTGTCAGYAATGTAGCTCAAAATCCCTTTCACATAAAAAAATTCGTACAAGAACTAACAGTTATTTAGAAGAACAGACCTCGTCGGCTCCACATGATGAAACACCACCGGACATTGATCTCAGTTCCGTAGAACTCTTACATCGTCCGTTGGTTCACTTAGTTACTTTGATTCAGTTTTTACTTTAACTCCCAGGATTATATGAAAACTAAAACACAATAAATTCTCTGTCCAAAAGGTAAAATAAAAATAAAAAAGGCATAAATARAAATTGCTTTCTTTGCGTTGTATTTCAGTTTTGGACATGAGATGTCAATACACAAGTGTGTCAATGTATCTTAGTGATCAATATACGACTCCACAAGGGATGTTGTGCTCCAAGAAATATACCATAGGAGTAAATATCAAGCCACTGACTTGTAACACAAGTGATGTTCAAATCGTAAATGTCGCAAAGGCATTCTTTGTCGATCCCATCAGTTTACAAATAAAGGTTCCAGCTATTACACTAGACCATGATAGTTCTGCAAATCCAGTCATTAACCCTGGAAAGCTTAATTATGGAATTTATCTGATAAGATATAGGACTTATATCAAATACTCTGGACCAATTCAAGAATTCCGATATGGATATATCAAAATCATTGAAGACGAACCAACCTTGATGGTGACAACATCTCCTTCCACCCTTACAAGCATTGATCCTCTTGAACACAAGACCATTTCTCTGCATGCAAATCTTACTTTTCGTTATGGATGTCCACCAGAAGCGGGTTTTGACTGGAGATTTGTAAAATACTATTGGTACTGTAGACGTTCAACGGAGAAGCCTTTGTTTTTTGTAAGAGACTTGAATGCCCTTCCTTACGTCACTCCATCGCTCAACTCGAGTGTAGACAATGGAGGCTGCTTTGGCACGGGACCTGGTTTACTGAATACGTCAAACTTTGAATTAGTTCTCAASACACGACAGCTGCTACCCAAAGAAATATTAMCAGTGGAAGTCATAACCATAAGAAATAACAATAGATTTTATAAGATGGTTACCATGGAGGTTATTCCCAAGAATGATTCGTGGTCATCAGGTAAGTGCATGTAGCTCGCTCCTTTTTTTTTCACTATGGAAGTACTAAAGTACAGAAATTGACCTGCCTTACGAAGATAGCTGTATTTCCCCTATGTTACCAATATTAAGTTTCAGTCGCCGGTTTCATGAAATTGTATGTGACTGTGTTTCTATTAATAGGTCCAAAGGAATCCCATGGCAATGGTGATATTGAATATTTCAATGCCGCCGTGAGACTAACGGAAGTAAACTTCACCAGATCATTGGAAGAAAAATGCTCTCCAGAGTTCTTGGAATTGTCSAAAGTTTTTATCAGTGCTGTAAGTTTGCGAAACAGATCGAATTTKGCTTTTGTGCTGTTATTGTTGTTGTCATTGTCATTGTTGTTGTTGTTGATGATGATGTTCTGTTTAATAAACGGACCTAAAAGATGATTCAATGACTGCGAATTGGTGTGCTCTGCACCATCTGCATACTGGGGTGAAAAACTATTGTTAACTGCTCGAACTAATGTTTAAGAATGACTGAAATAGGCTAACTGTTTCGATTATTTCGTTATTTAGATTTATGCAATATACAGTCAACACCAGAAGTACAATGTTTCAAACATCCAAGTTGTAAAATTTGCGTAAGTCATCTTCTGCTTTCTCGAGTGGGCGAATCATTTTCTATCCTCTGTAATGAGAAAAGGMTGTATTTATTCAACTGTTAGACTGTTCCAGAAGTACATAACCAGAAGTGTCCATCTCCCTATTAATATCGCCACCATCAGATGTCCCGATAATCTATTTTTAGACAACCAATCACAACGCGCGCACATATTGCACGGCACCTGATTGGTCCTTGTTGATCTACTTCAAGAGCGGACAAGAAAGGAAAATTATGTAGTCGATGGAGGAGAACGAAGTGAAGTTTGCATTTACGAGAATTTTACACCTTTTGCTGAACAACCATTTTTGAATTCGATAGAAAACATGATACTTTACTATATGAGCAATGTAGCGAAGGAAGTTCAAGAGCAATATGGTCTGCGAAAACAAGGGAAAAGTTCAGACAAAGATGAAGAAAAATGCAAAACAGCGTGCTAAGAAAAGTAGTGTAAAGTAGCTTCCTTACAGTCAAATAGAGCTGGACTTAAACAAAGCCAAAAGGTAAGTAATTTTCGACTCTTGACGTGAGATGG